ATTGGGCCTCAAACTTTGAACCAAACATTCGGTCGATGGATCTTAGGCCTTGAACCATAAGCCATCTTCGCAGTCGATCGATGGGCCTTGAACCTCGATCCGACCCCATCACAATTCGTCGATCGACGGGCTTTGAACCTCGATCCGACCCCATCACAATTAGTTGATCGACGGGCCTTGAGCCTCGATCCGACCCGATCACAATTCGTCGATCAACGGGCCTTGAACCTCTATCCGACCCGATCATAATTCATCGATCGACGGGCCTTGAGCCTCGATCCGACCTTATTACAATTCGTCAATCGACGGGCCTTAAACCTCGATCCGACCCCATCATAACTTGTCAATCGACGGGCCTTGAACCTCGATCCGACCTCTTCATAGCTTGTTGGGCAACGGGCCTCGGGCCTCTGATCGTCACAGTTCGACGACCGACATATCCTGAGCCTCGAATCAATGTAGCAGCAAATCATCAACTGATGGGCTTTTAGCCTTTATTCAAGCAACGAAGAGCCATGGTAGGGCTCTTCGAGTGATACTGGGATGTAGAAGGGATTTTGGAATGAAGGATGGAAAATTAGTAATGTCTTGCCCACTAAGGTAAGACCCAGTTTGAGGATAAGAGCAAAGGACGGCTGGAATAGTACAATCGCCTTTACAGCCTGTCATTTTTTGATTATTCAACAGGAAAGGTACACTTGGTAGTTGATCCAAAAATAAAGGGATTAGGGCAACATGACCCAAAGAGGCATGATTCTGACCCGCTCTAAAGATGGAGGCCTAACAATGTACTACCTGGATGACCTAGAGCTATAAAAGGAGGCAGTAACAAAAAGAAGCGGGTAAGAACTGACGGCAGCTCCTTCCCTACCATTGTTCAAGATTCTCTTTCTGGACTGGTTTTCTCTCCCTTCTTCCTACCCTTCTGCATTCTTTATATTGCTGAGTGGTATATTCCAAGACCTTCTTGACTCTTCCAGGACCCACGCAGAACCAGGTATTTATATTTGGTGACTTCACTGGGGATTATCCTAGCAAGACGATGAATCCAGATGAAGTTCCTCCTCTAGCACAGGTAGAGGTGTCTGCTGTTGGCGCCACCAGTGTTAAGGCCGTTAGTGCCAGAGCTACCAGCGCAAGAGACACTAGCACTAGGGCCACAAGCACCAGGTTTCATTCCTCAAGATCCAAACACAGGTCCAGCATTGATGCTGTTCTGGAGGCTATGTAGGTAATAAACCACCAGCTGATGACCCAGATGGAAAGGTTTGAAGAGGCCCTTCACGTTTTTGATAGGAGGGTTTCGATGACACTAAGCACTGTTCAAACGGAGGTCCCTTCAGCGACTCAGGTAGCATTCACTACTGCCATTCCAGCTAATATTACTCTACCTCCACAGAGTGAGCAACAGATTATGAGGACACCAAGGGGCCAAGATCGTAGTGCTAACCTGCTATCACAGCCCACTCCAGAGTCCTACAACTCTGCATTATAGGTAATCCCTGAGGCCCCTCGTGCTTTCCTATCTCGAGGAAAAGAACCCATGTTCTGTTCCCCTCCTACTTGTGCTCAGGCAAACCCTAAAGCACATCGTCCTCTCCCCTCCTACTCCTACTCTGCCCCAAAAGAAATGTTCACACGCTTTGAAGTACATGATCTCTTCAAGAAGGGCACGCCAACCTCTCGCGCCTTGGACTTTGGTAGCGAGCCTCCTTACCCTCTTGTTATTGCACAGACCCCATACCCACAGGGATATTTCGTCCCCAAATTCCTATAATTCAATGGCAAAACTGGCAATCCTAGAGAGCATGTCATGCGCTTTGTTGAGGCTTTGGGTCATTTTGGTGATAATCATGTGGTTCGTCTACGCGAATTCTCTAAGTCCCTAACTAATCGGGCATACCGTTGGTATTTTAACCTCGAGCCAGACTCCATCAGTACCTGGAAGCAGCTGAAAGATCGTTTTCTTACCAAGTTTTTCTAGGCTGAAGAGCGTGTCACCACCTTGTCCCTCACAAAAGAGGCCTAAGAAGACAATGAGGATGTCCTTGCCTTTATTAACTGATTCAGTGATCGTGCAGGCGAGTGCTTCGAAAGTAGCAATAAAATGGACTTGGTTGATATTTGTATCCAGGGCATGCTGTAGATCTATAAGCTCCATCTTGTTAAACTGAGAATTGCTAGCTTTGGCGAGCTCAAGATCGCTACTCGGAATCTCAAAGATCTCAAGCCAGTCATTGCTAAGTATGAGCCTCCGAAGTATGATGCTTTTAAGTTTGAAGTTCCAAAGCCTTCCAATCGCACATCTGCACCTACAACAACCATCGAGGAGCGCCCACGGAAACGGTTTGATAAGTCCCAATCTAAGCCACAAGGCGACGAGCCACCACCTTTCCGCATTCACATCGAGGAGGTCAAGAAAACACTCGCCCAATGGGTCAAGGATGACGTCATTATTTTACCCACTCTACGTCGCGAGCCTACCCCAGCTGATAGAGCTAATGCTGATTTCTATGTTTACCATCAAAGTGTTACTCATCCCACTATTAATTGTTGGGGCCTGCGTCGCCTCTTTCAACGATGAATGGCAACTGGTGATCTTGAAGTCACCCTTCCTAAGGATGTTCATAGGTTCCCATACCCTGATCATCGTATGGCTGTTATCATCTGCTATGATGAGCTCGCAGAAACAAATTCAGTCCATGAGGCAAAACCTTCTTCAGAAATGGATATGTGTCATTTGGTCGCCTCTGTCAAACCCAACTCTACTGCACTAAAGAAGACCCTATCCTTCTCTGATGCTGACAAACAGAGCTCAGGTGCCCAAAATCGACCATTGTATGTACTGGCTTCTATCAAGGGGGTGGAATTCAAGCGCGCTTTTCTTGACAATGGTTCCTCCATCAATGTCATGCCCCTCTCCACCTTTCGCAAAGAAGGCATCTCCGAGGATCGTCTGATTAAAGAGCCAATCGAGGTTACAGGATTTGGCAATGATCTTCGTCGCATGATGGGCTATGTTAATGTTGATTTAGCTGTTAACAAATTCCAAGCCTCTACGAAGTTCCATGTTATTGACAGCGACACCTCTTATCACATCCTTCTGGGGCGCGCATGGATGCACCGCTTTGGCATCGTACCTTCCATTTACCACCAATGTTTCAAAGGCATTTAGAATAATAAGGTTGTCACAGTCCCGTGTTCAGATCGCCCCTTTACCACCTTTGAGGCTCATTACACCGATGAATTATTCTTCAATGACCTTGATGACTGCGTGTAAGACTGCGATGTGACCATTATTAGCACCCCCTACCTATCTGTGCTGACGCCCAGAAGGACATTTTTCACCCACCTTCTCCCGTTCAGACAGGCGATGCCCCACGTGAATGCAAACGCGTTCGCCTCCCCAACGGTTGTGTCATCTACCGTTTATGAAGGTTTCCAGGGTCAGCAAAGGTTCACTCTACTGACTTTCCAGAATATCAACCTTGGATTATCAAGAAAACACCATTGCCAGATCTTGTTGAAGTTAATCTTGCCCATCCCAATGAGCAGCCTCGCATCACGTTCCTCTCGGGTACACTCAATTCTCAAGATAGCTCTCACCTTGTCTCTCTCTTGCAGGAATTTTGCGATGTATTTGCATGGACATGCAGCGAGATGCCAGGGCTTTACCCTTCATTGGTCTCCCACCATCTTAACGTTTTGCCCAACGTTCGCCCAGTTAAGCAAGGCTCGCGAACTTTCCGGCTAGAGCTTGAGTTGCAAATCAAAGATGAGAGTCCAAAAGTTGTTAGCAGCCGGTTTCATCAAGCCTATCATTCATCCCACGTGGTTGGCCAACATTGTTCCTGTGCAGAAGAAGAATGGCCAAATCAGGGTGTGTGTCGATTTTCAAAACCTTAACAAGGCCTACCCAAAGGATGATTTCCCCTTGCCCATTATTGATACCTTGGTCGATGGCACTGTAGGCCATGAAATGTTTTCCTTCATGGATGGCTTTAGTGGTTACAATCAGATCCGGATGGCAGAAGGTGATACAGAAAAGACAGCCTTTCGAACTCCTCTTGGTAATTTCCACTTTACTGTTATGCCTTTCGGTTTGAAAAATACAGGTGCCACATACTAGCGAGCCATGACTGCTATCTTCCATGATTTACTTCATCACAATCTTAAAGATTATGTGGACGATTTGGTCGTTAAGTCCAAACAGAGAGCCAATCATCTCCATAACTTACGCCAAGTGTTCGAGCGTTGCCGCCAGTATAACCTCAAAATGAATCCCCTCAAATGTTCTTTCGGTGTTAACCATAGCAAATTATTGGGTTTTATGGTCACTCGCCAGGGTATTGAAGTTGATCCAGCTAAGTCCAAAGCGATTCTTGATATGCCATCTCCAACGACTTCCAAACAGCTGAAAAGCTTCTTGGGCAAAGTTTATTATCTTCGTCGATTCTTGCCAGCCCTCGCTGAGGCAACACATGCCTTTAGTACCCTTGTTAAAGAGAAAGTGAAGTTCTCTTGGACAGACATTCATCAGGCGGCCTTCGAGCGGATCAAGCCCATGTTATTGTCCTCGCAGATCATGCATACTCCGCACAAAGACCAGCCCCTCTTCCTGTATATTACTTCCACACCTCGATCCATTGGGGCACTGCTCACACAGGAAGTTAATAATCAAGAATGCCCAGTCTATTATATTAGTCGTCTGATCTGTAATGCTGAAGAACGATATTCCCTTATTGAAAAGCATTGCCTCGCCTTGGTCTTCGCCGCGCATAAGTTCTGGCACTACTTCCTCGCCCATGGCATCATTCTCATTACTAAATGCGATCCCTACAGGCACCTCCTCTCCAAACCTATGCTCACAGGAAAGGTCGCATGATGGTTTCTCTCCCTAGCAGAGTTTGATATTACCTGCCAACAGCCTACTGCCATCAAAAGTCAAGCCCTCGCAGATTTGCTTGCTCAATTCCCCAATGAAACTCACGAGCCGGTGGATGAATAACTACCCCTCGACGACCTGTAGGTTGCCTCCCTTGAGCAAGCTCAGGAATTGGCACTTATCCTTCGATGGTTCTTCCATAGCACGGGGCGGGGGCGCGGGCATCGTGCTCTCCTGCCCGACCCTCACCTCCACCGCTGCTGTCAAACTTGACTTCAAGTGCACCAACAACGAAGCTGAATATAAAACATTCATCCTGGGGCTATTAATAGCACTCGACAGGCAAATCTCCCGGTTATACATTGATGGTGATTCAAAGTTGATTGTCAAACAGATTTCAGGTGAGTTCGCAATTCGCGAGCCCTCTTTAGCCTCGTATCGCACAATCATTCAAAAGCTTCTCTCTCGGTTCACCATCGTTCGCTTGGCTCATGTCTCTCGATCTGTCAATCGATACCCCGATGCTCTTGCCACGCTCGCATCCAAACTTGACATCTTTGGCCCCACCCAACAGATCACTGTTTATAAACAAACGCAACCTGCCATCGCCAGTCTGCTCCCTCTTGAAGATTTACTGATTGGCGCCGCCTAATTATCGATCAAATGCAGACCTTCACCGGTTCCTTACCTCTTGCTCAGCTTAAGCGCTTTCATTTGATCCAAGGAGTCTTTTATCATCGATTCCCCTCTGGCATCCTCAGTCACTGTCTAGGGGATGCAGAGGCCAGTGAAGTTCTTCACTGCGTTCATCAGCAATATTGTGCCACTAATGATATCGCTCTTTATCGACGGCTCCAATGCTAAGTCTATTATTGGCCTCAAATGTCCAGTCAGGCCGCTGCGTTGCAGCGCGCATGTGTCGCTTGCCAGAAATGCCCTGATGAAGCTGAGGTCCTCAAGCTCGAGCTGGCTGATTGGCCAACCCCCTTTATTCGTTACCTTCGACATGGTCATCGCCCAGATGATCCAACTGCCAAGCTCAAACACCAAGCGCTACGCTTCCAAGTTTGCGATGGTCGATTATTCCGCCTCTCTCGCGAAGGGCACCTCTTGCGATGCCTTGCTGGTGCTGAGATTCGTGAAGCACTTCGTCAAGCCACTCCCCTGAGCATCAGGGTGCATACAAAATTGTTTCAACACTTGATCCACAAAGGGCTCTACTGGCCAACTATGGAATGCGATGCTAAGATGTTTGTTCAACGGTGTCAACCGTATCAATACCATCACCATCGGATCCATACCCCCCCAATAGTACTTCATCCACTTGCTGCCCCTTGGCCCTTCCACACTTGGGGTCTGGACCTCGTTGGCCCAATCAACCCTACAGTTCGTCAAATGCATTGGATCCTCACGGGTACAGATTTCTTTTCTAAGTGGGTTGAAGCCATCCCCCTACGCCATGCCACAGGTATCGCTATTACAGCTTTTATTCGTGAACATATTATTTGCTGGTTCGGCATCCCAGCGATCATCCTCTCAGACAATGGCACCCCCTTTGTCAATTATGGGGTTGCTCAGCTTCTTCAGCAATATAATATCACACAGCGCCGATCTTCTTGTTACTATCCCAAAGGCAACGGCCAAGCCGAAGCAACCAATAAATCTCTCCTTAAAATCCTCAATCGCACGGTCATTGGGTCGATTAGCTGCCGTTAGCTCTTTGGGCCCATCGCACCCCCAAAAAGCGCGCCACAGGCCAAACTCCTTTTTCCCTCCTATACAGCATATAAGCTATTCTCCCAGTCGATATTGCCATTCCTGCTGCTGCTTTGGCCGCTCGAAGCGAGGTTGACCACTTCACTCATCTCGAGGCCTTAGATGAACGATGTGAGTTAGCATGACAACATCTCAAGGTTTATCAACACACCCTGGCTAAGGCTTATAACAAGCATGTGCGACCTCGTACCTTCCAGGTAGGTAACCTTGTTCTCAAAGCTGCTAAACACATTATGCATAACACCTCTGCCACAAAGTTCACTCCCAAATAAAAAGGGCCCTATGTTGTCATCGAGGCCCAACCCAGTGGCTACTACAGACTGCAGGGTGATGGGCACAAGGCCGAACCTATAAATTCTAGTTGGTTGAAGCTTTACCACAGTTAGTTATTTCTCTTGTACTTGGCATTAGTTCCATATCACAAGTAATATACATATTCAAGTTATTTCTATTACCATAACTGCTTAACTTTTCATTCAATTTATGGCAAAATACATTATGGACCTAATGGTCAGTCATTTACAATCACTGGCCTACTCATAAAATAGCAGAATTATGTCTCTTCGACTAGGGCTCGCTGTTGCTCTACCATCGCTAAGCGAGCTTAGATCTCCTCAATTATCCGTTTATCTCTCGCAATTCGAGCATCTAACTCCGCCATCTCTTTGGCTAAGAAAGCTTGCCCCACAACTCGCTCGCAGGCGTCCAGTCTTCTATCTAACCATTCTATCTCCACTCGGTCCTTGAGCAGCCCAATTAGCTCGCGAGCTTCCTATATTAGTTCTTCTGACCCACCTCCTCGTACCACCATCGTGAATATCTCGAGTACTCACCCTAAGGCTTTGTACCCAAAGCGACGGAACATTGGATGTCTCTTTTCAATCGCCTCCACCTTCGTCGGCTGGGCTCAGTTTGCTGCCTCCAGCAATAGGATACAGTATGCCCCAATCATCACTCCTCGCCAGACAGCCTCTGTCTTCCCTGTCGCCACCACTGCGTGCACCATTTCTACCATTTGCTGCCTTCTCTCGACTGGGAGCACCTCCCCTATCGCACTATTCTTTCCACTTTCGGCCTCTTCGTCCGAAACTCGCCTGTTTAACGTACTGTTAGAACCTTCTAAGGAGGATTGTGCTTGCAGCACTTATACCCCATGCTGGCCTGCCTGTGCCTCGGCCTCCATGTCTTCCAGCCTCACGGTGTCCCAGAGGCCTGCTCTTCCACAACATCTTCCTTCTTCGCAACGGATGCCTCGCCCGCTGGGTACTCTAACAGCAGCATTGGCGTCAACGATCTTGGCACCGAGGGTTCTTCCACTCGTGGCATACGCAAAACTGTTACTGGCACTTTCCTACCCATCCCTGGCCGATGTCTTGCAACCAACATACCCAAGGCATAAGTTTCATTTCAATACATAGAAAATCAAACCATCATTACTCCACTACTTACCTATTGCTGTTCGAATGGGAGGCAGAGGGCTCTCGGCTATCATTAACCTTTTCACGATATCTCTCTTTGAGCCGCCGGCAGCTAACGTCGCCCCAACGCCTCCAGTAAACTTCTCAGCAACGCTCGATACCTCTGCCGTTTCTATCACCTTTTTTACGCTCGGCGATACATCATCCCTCAACTCCACCACATCCTTCGTCTCTCTCGTTGACTCATCCTCCGATAAGTCGATTACCGAGGCTTTCTGCTTTCGCCGCTTCAGATTAGCAATTGGTTCTTCCTCCTCATCGTCTGACACCACGGCTTTCTCCTTGGGCTTGGGCGGAGCTGCCCTTGCAGCCCTCCTGCCACTCCTTAGCTCGACTGATGTGGCCGGCACAACCGCTTCCGGTATAGCGTTATACGCCACCTCACCTATCTCCGAGGCTAACGGAGCCATTATCGACCTGTGTCCTCACACTCCTGGTCGAGGCATGCGCAGAGAGACATCGTCTTTGTATACGGTTACCGAGGTGTATGGATGAGGGAGCTGTAAGCAAAACATCCTGAACGAGCCCAAACAGTCCATCAAGTACTGTCGATAGCTCCCTGTAATATCACCCTGGCGACTTCGTGCAGGAATCACGATGCTGCCAACATTCTCTTCTACCAGATCATACAACACACTGAATCGAAAGAGGGCCTCTTCCAGTTCTTCATATTTTTCCACTAAGTCACACTCTCTTGGCACCCCTTGGTCATACCCAAACTGTCTTGGTATACGTCTTGGGTTGTACACCTTCAGCACATGGCCAAGCTCAAATCATCCAGGTAAATAGCCTGGCAGCACCACTAAGGCAAATGTCTGTTCGTCTGAGTCTCCAGATTCTGTTCTTAGCGTATACACCCTGGCCTTCTCCCAGTATATCCCCAAGTCTGCCACTCTAGCTATATCCTCCCTGTAAGGTCTGAAAACAAACTCTTGCTCAGAGTCGATCACCTCTCCGAGTGGTACTCTGCAGCATCGCCCACTTCAGCGCCTCCTTCGCGTTTCTTGATCGCTCAACTCCAGCGAGACAGGCCCGTAAGCAGGGAAGCCCTTGTACAGATACATCTGCAAAAACCCAGTTGCCACATAGGATACCATGGGGTATCGACCAACTGAGCGTGCACTATCCTCTGCGATCATGTCCAATCGATGGTACAATGTCCCCAAGAATAATGGCCCCAAGCGGATCGCCACTTCACTTGCAATCTTCACCGCAATTAGGCACCATAGACTTATGGGTGCATCATCTGGAGTGCCTGGGAATACATACTTGGATAGCCAACACAGAATATATGCTGCGAGCTCTGCCGGGTGCCCAATCTTGTCCCCATCGACAAAGGGACGCTCTGACTTCTCCCCCTTGAAGGCTGGCTGCAAATCCTTGAACCAATAATGTATCTATGCCCCTGTCGTGCTCTTCCTGGCTCCTTTTTCCCTCTCATCGCGTATCGCTCCCTTTGTGTTAAAGAAGGATCCATAGTTTTTGGTCTTCTCCAACCCTTCTTCCAGCGCAGCCATTATTCCCTTCTTGGCTGCATCCATCGTCAGGGGGACTGTAAACCCCCTACCCATGACATGTAGCCCAAACAATTAGGCCACATCCTCTAGCGTGGGTGTAAACTTCCCCCACTTCGCCACAAAGGTGTGTGTTGAACTACACCACCTTGATACCAATAGTTCCAACCCTGGCCCATCTCGGGGCACTTTCAACTTCCGGGACAGACGCATGGCTCGTGCAACTCGCGTTTGCCGTAGCCACTGTACATACATAGTGTGATTGAAAATGTGCTCAGACCACTCCTCCCAACCTGCACATGGACCCACCGGTGTCTTGAACTCAATAAAACAATAAAGATACATCCCTTGTTCAATGGCAAGTCGGTGTACATAGTCCAGCGGCGGCCGGGCACCTATTTCCACGGCGGCTTCTTCTTCCATCAATTGGGCTACCCCGCTGTCAATCTCTTCTCTGGTCATGTACCCCGTCGCCGTCCAGAATCTATCCATTGGTCCAAAGAACGGAGCACGCTTCCATTCCCCATCCGGTGGTACTTCCGGCACTGGTTCACCAGTTTTACTCAACTGTTTTCTCTTCGTCATTTTCTCAAACACCCGCAACTGTTTCTGCACCAATAGCCTCGTCACTCTTACACAGCTCTGTTGTCACAACACCACGTCAATTCCTTCCTTGCACTGTATTTTTTTTTTCTTCCTCTGTTTACAACACTCTTCTTGTCTCTGAACCCGGCCTTTATATAGACAATTAGGGTTTCGTTTTGGGGAAGATGACGACACTCAACAACCGTGTCCTATCATTTTCCCATTAAATGTTTAACCGCTAAAACCACCAAGCCGTACCGGTTTCCAACACCATTAATCCCCACGCCTTTATGCACGCG